CACGGAGATTAGTGCCACCATGAAGGACTTGAAAGATGCAGGGGTGGTGATTCCCACCACATCCTCGTTCAACTCTCCCATTTGGCCTGTGCAGAAGACAGATGGATCTTGGAGAATGACAGTGGATTACTGTAAGCTTAACCAAGTGGCGACTCCAAGTGCAGTTGCTAAACTAGATGTAGTTTCATTGCTTGAGCAAATAAACACGTCTCCTGGTACCTGGTATGGCGCCACTGACTTGGAAAATGCCTTTTTCTCCATTCTTGTCCATAAGGCCCACCAGAAGCAATTTGCCTTCAGCTGGCAAGGCCAGCAGTATACCTTTACTGTCCTACCTCAGGGGCATATCAACTCTCTGGCTTTGTGTCATAATCTTACTTGGAGAGACCTTGATTGCTTTTTGCTTCTGCAAGATATCACGCTGGTCCATTACATTGATGATATTATGCTGATTGGATCCAGTGAGCAAGAATTAGCAAACACATTGGACTTATTGGTGAGACATCTGTGTGCTAGAGGATGGGTAAAAAATCCGACTAAAATTCAGGGACCTTCTACCTCAGTAAAATTTCTAGGGGTCCAGTGGTGTGGGGCCTATCAAGATATTCCTTGTAAGGTGAAGGATAAGTTGCTGCGTTTGGCCCCTCCTGCAACCAAGAAAGAGGCACAACGCCTAGTGGGCCCATTTGGATTTTGGAGGCAACACGTTCCTCTTTTGGGTGTGTTACTCTGGCCCATTTATTGAGTCTCTGACCCATTTATTGAGTCACTCAAAAGGCTGCCAGTTTTGAGTGGAGTCCAGAACAGGAGAAGGCTTTGCAACAGGTCCAGGCTACTGTGCAAGCTGCTCTGTCACTTGGGCCATAGGACCCAGCAGATCCAATAGTACTTGAGGTGTCAGTGGCAGATAGGGATGCTGTTTAGAGCCTTTGGCAGACCCCCATAGGTGAATCACAGCAGAGGCCTCTAGGATTTTGGAGCAATGCCCTGCCTTCTTCTGCAGAGAATTATTCTCCTTTTCTTTATGAGATGGAGTCTCTCTCTGTCACCCAGGCTGGAGTACAGTGGCGTGATCTCAGCTCACTGCAACCTCCACCTCCCTGGTTCAAGTGATTCTTCTGCCTCAACCTCCCGAGTAGCTGGGACTATAGGTGCGTGCCACCACACATGGCTAATTTTTGCATTTTTAGTAGAGATGGGGTTTCACCATATTGGTCAGGTTGGTCTTGAACTCCTGACCTCATGATCCACCTGCCTTGGCTTCCCAAAGTGCAGGGATTACAGGCATGAATCACCGCGCCTGGCCAACTACTCTCCTTTTGAGAGACAGCTCTTGGCCTGTTACTGGGCTTTGGTGAAAACTGAACATTTGACTATGGGTCATCAAGTCACCATGCAACCTGAACTGCCTATCATGAACTGGGTGCTTTCTGACACATCAAGCCATAAAGCGGGTCGTGCACAGCAGCATTCCATCATCAAATGGAAGTGGTATATATGTGATTGGGCTCAAGCAGCTCCTGAAGGCATAAGTTACATGAGGAAGTGGCTCAAATGCCCAGGGTCTCTACTCTTTCGCACAGCCTGTACTGATGGCCTCAGGGGGAGTTCCCTCTGATCAGCTGACAGAGGAAGAGAAGACTAGGGCCTGGTTCACAGGTGATTCTGCATGATACGCAGGCACCACCCAAAAGTGGACAGCTGCAGCACTACAGCCCCTTTCTAGGACATCCCTGAAGGACAGTGGTGAAGGGAATCTTTCCCAGTGGGCAAAATTTCAAGCAGTGCACCTGGCTGTGCACTCTGCACGGAAAGAGGAATGGCCAGATGTGTGATAATATGCTGATTCATGGACTGTAGCCAATGGTTTGGTTGGACGGTCAGGGACTTAGAAGAAGTATGATTGGAAAATTGGTGATGATGAAATTTGTGGAAGAGGTATGTGGATGAACCTTTCTGAGTGGTCAAACTGTGAAGATATTTGTATCCCATGTGAGTGGTCACCAATGGGTGACCTCAGCAGAGGAGGATTTTGATAATCAAGAGGACAGGATGACCCATTCTATTGACACCACTCAGCCTCTTTCCCTAGCCACCCCATCATCACTCAATGGGCCCATGAACAAAGTGGCCATAGTGCAGGGATGGAGGTTATGCATGGACTCAGCAACATGGACTTCCACTCACCAAGGCTGACCTGGCTATGGCCACTGCTTAGTGCCCAATTTGCCAGCAGCAGAAGCCAACACAGCCCTCGATATGGCACCATTCCTCAGCGTGATCAACCAGGTACCTGGTGGCAGGTTGATTATACTGACCTCTTCCATCATGAAAAAGGTTTGTCCTCACTGGAAGAGAAAGTTACTCCAGATATGGGTTTGTCTATCTTGCATGCAGTGCTTCTGCCAAGACTACCATCTGTGGACTCACGGAATGCCTTACCCACTGTCATGGTATTCCACACAGCATTGCCTCTGACCAAGGCACGCACTTTACGGCTAAAGAAGAGTGGCAGTGGGCTCATGCTTATGGAATTCATGGGTCTTACCATGTTCCCTATCATCCTGAAGCAGCTGGATTGATAGAATGGTGGAAAGGCCTTTTGAAGTCACAATTACAATGCCAACGAGGTGACTATACTTTGCAGGGCTGGGGCAAAGCTCCCCAGAAGGCTGTGTATGCTCTGAATCAGTGTCCAATATATGGTGCTGTTTCTTCCATAGCCAGGATTCACGGGTCCAGGAATCAAGGGGTGGAAGTGGAAGTGGCACCATGCATCATCACCTCTAGTGACCCAGTAGCAACATTTTTACTTCCTATTCCCACGACATTATGTTCTGCTGGCTTAGAGGTCTTAGTTCTATAGGGAGGAAAGTGCCACCAGGAGACACAGCGACGATCCCATTAAGTTAAGTTTGCCACCTGGACACTTTGGGCTCCTCCTACCTTTAAGGCAACAGACTAAGAAAGGAGTTACAGTGTTGGCTTGGGTGACTGACTTGGACTATCAAGATGGAATCAGTCTACTACTCCACAATGGAGGTAAAAAAGAGTGTGCATGGAATACAGGAGCTCCATTAGGGCGTCTCTTAGTAGTACCATGCTCTGTGATTAAGGTCAACGGGAAACTACAACAGCCCAATCCAGGCAGGACTACAAATGGTCCAGACCCTTCAGGAATGAAGGTTTGGGTCACCCTGCCAGGAGAACAACAACAACAACAACAAAAACACGACCTGCTGGGGTGCTTGCTGAAGGCAAAGGGAATACAGAATGGGTAGTAGCAGGTAGTCATCAATACCAGCTATGACCACGTGGAAACAGGGACTGTAATTGTCATGTGTATTTCCTCCTTCTTTTGTTAAAAACATGTTTGTGCATGTATACACTTGTACTAGGAAAATATCTTCATTTTATTTCCTTTTTCCTTTAGCATGTGACATAAGATTATATTGACTTCCTATCAGCATTTAAGTATTGTTAACTTTATGTAATAGTATTTGGGCTGGGGATTGGTGCATTTGCGGTTATAGGAAAGGACAAGTGTATTATGTTAGGTGTAATTATGAACTTATTATTGTTTTTATTTGAAGATTATGTATGATCTCAGGAGATGTTTATGGGTTCAAGTTGACAAGGGGTAGACTTGGGATGGTTAATATTAAGTGTCAACTTGATTGGATTGAAGGATGCAAAGTGTTACTCCTGGTGTGTCTGTGAGGGGGTTGCCAGAGGAAATTAACATTGAGTCAGTGGGCTGGGAAAGGCAGATCCACCCTTAATCTGGATGGGCACCATCTAATCAGCTGTCAGTGAATATAAAGCAGGCAGAAAAACATGGAAAGGTTAGACCGGCCTAGCCTCCCAGCCTACAACTTCCTCCCATGCAGGATGCTTCCTGCCTCGAACGTCGGACTCCACGTTCTTCAGTTTTGGAACTTGGACTGGCTCTCCTTGCTCCTCAGCCTGCAGATGGTCTGTTGTGGGACTCTGTGATCGTGTGAGTTAATACTTAATAAACTTCCCTTTATATGTATATATATTCCATTAGTTCTGTCCCTCTAGAGAACCCTGACGAATACACCTAGCCAATTAAAAAAAGGTTTTTTTGTAGACATGGGGTTGTGCTATATTGACCAGGCCTGTCTCAAACTCCTGACCTCAAGCAATCTTCTTGCCTCAGCCTCCTAAAGTGTTGGGATTACAGGTGTAAGCCACCCACCAGGTCTGCAAACATACTTTCTCATGGCCTGTGCTGTGAAAAGAGCCAGAACCAGAGGGCAAAATGGTAGAATGATGGGCAAATTCATTAGTATTGTTTCCCTTTTACTTGGTCAATTTTAATCATTAGAAGAAAACTACAGAACCCTTCTCTGTAGTCACTGTTGGGAAGCAAAGACCTGGATGTATTCAGGAGGTACATAAGATCCAGACTTGTTGTTCAAATGTCTATCTATTATTGATCACATTATTTATTAGGGCTCATCTTTTCTAAGTTGAAAGTACCATCTTTATCATATACAGTAGGAGTCTGTACTATCTGTGGCTTCGGGCATCCACTGGGGGTCTTGAAACATATGCCCTGCAGATAAGGAGGGACTCCTGTTTTAAGATATTTCTGTTTCTGGGCTCTCCATTCTGTTTTATCCATCTGTCTGTTTTACTAGCTGTAGAATGCATTTAGGATCTGGGGAGGGCCACTGCTTCCCCATTCTTTTTCAAAGTTTTTCTGGCTATTCACAATGATATGTTTGAATGTCCTGGGTCTTACGTTTCTGTCATGTTTCTGTTTAAATCACTGTGAACCTTTGGGCCCTTCCAGTAACAAATTGTTCAAAAAAGACTCACAGTCAGGGCCTAAGTTAAAGAATGAGCTGCTTTTGTTTCTGTTTTCTTTAGTTGATTCTATACAGAAATATAGCTACATAAAGTAAATCCTTCACACCTCCTACATCACACTTAAGTATTTAAAATGCAATACGTAATTAAAAGCATTGTACCTGAGCAATTGTCTCTGGGTCCAGTGGCTTGTGGTCATTGAAGCCTGTGTATTGCCCTGATGATGTGGACCTTCTAATGGGAGGGCTGTCAATCTTCTTGAGGGAGTCGTGCCGGCTGATGTTGGTTAGGCTGCCATGGCCAGGCCTGCGCCTCCGCTCAGGACTGTCATTGTTGAGGCCACGGTTCTGCAGCAGGCCCCGGGGGTGACTGGCGAGGCTGGGGGACCCCAGGTCAACTGAGGAGTTGGAAAGGGCATGTGGAGGGTGGAGTGGGCAATGGCCATCACTGGTCCTGCCAGGACGCCTTACTGGAGGGGGTGGCTCTCCTCTTTTTCTTTGCCTAGACATTCACAGAAACAGGGAGAAAACAGAAGAGCTTATCACACTGGGCAGTACTGCAAGGCTGAGGGTGCAGTGGCTCCTTATGGCCCCGGAAGGAGTGGAGGCTTAGGGGCCTGATTCCCAGGCTCTACCTACCTGGCTAAATAGCCATCAGGATGACGATCTGTCGGAGAGTTCATGTCCTTGGATGAGGACTTGTCTTCTGTGACTGGCCCACTGCTGGCCTCACTGTCGGCTTTTTGGCTCAGAGTGTCTGAAAATGTATCATCCCTGAAACAGTAAGATGAGTGGAGACAAAATTTACTAGATTTACAAATTTTACAAAATTTGCTAGATGAGTGGAGACAAAAATTTACGTGATAGCATTTATGGATGAAACAGCATTATGTATGAAAGACCTTCTTTTATTAAAATAACTTTTTTCATTATGAAAGCAGTATAATTTCATTACAGGTAAAACAGCAATTTCAGTTATACAAAAAAGAGTGAAATAATCACCCATAATATAACATGCAGAGACAACTACTGTGAGAATTTTAAGAAATATCCTCCTCCATCTTCTATTCTACGCCTGGGATACATATCTGTGAGTGTGCACATACATATGTATGGCATTTATACTACAGTCACGTGTTGCTTAACAGCGAGGATACATTCTGAGAAATGTGTTGTCAAGCAGTCTCATCATTGTGGGAACATCACAGAGTGCACTTACACAAACCTAGATGGTACAGCCTATTGCACACCTAGGCTATATGGTGGAGCCTACTGCTCCTAGGCTACAAACCTGCACAGCATGTTACTGTACTGAATGCTACAGGCAGTTATAATACAATGGTGTAAACAAGTACTTGTGTATCTAAACATATCTAAACATAGAAAAGGTACAGTAAAAATAGGATATTAAATCCTATGGGACCACTGTCATATATGTGGTCCACTGATGCTCAAAATGTCATTGTGTGGTACATGACTGTACAGATATTTATGCAAATTTATTTTATATATGAATATATTTATATGTAGCTATTTCAGATATATACGACTATATGTATATACACGCATTTCTTGGCTTCTGAGATACACATTTTAACATTTCTGAAATCAGGCTGAATCATTCAGTCACTGTATACCTTTTGTGTCCTATATTTATTTTTTCCATAAAAAGCTACAATTTTGGACTACACATTATTTTGCAACACGTTTCTTTCACTTAATATGTTATGACTATCTTCCCATATCTTTAAATACTTTTGAAATTAGAGCTTTCTCCTCAGCAAAAAACAAAACAAAACAAAAAACAGCATTGCAATGATTCCCTCTGACTTTAGGTCAGTGTCCTTCCTCTGGGGAATCTGGAATTGAAACGGTAAACAGACATCAAGAGAAGAGCACTGCTGTTTTTGGAATTACCAATGTCACTTCAGCTCTTAATGCCATTCTCTGCATAGGTTATTTTTCTAAGAATCTGAAAGCTTCAGAAGATGTCTCCCCCGAGTTGTTGCTCCAGACCTCCTGGGCCCTGACTTACTGTTAGCAAAGAGCCACTGGCAAGATGAGGAACTGTGCCTAGCTCTGAAGTTTTATCTCTGTAATCCCTTCTGCTCCTTTCTCACAAGACCAAGGTCAGTTGAAGAACAATGGCTGGAGTCCTCTATTGGGAGCACTCAGGCAATCAAAGTTGAGACTACTCACATATCCTGCACCACTATATACTGGTGAGGCACCAGCCCGTCAATCCCGTTGTGCCTGCCTTCCCACCAGTCCTCAGATGCACGGTGATACAGCAGCAGGGAGGCACCCTTCTTGAAGGATAGTTCTCTGGCGGACCGCCCAACATAGTCAAACTTGGCTATTGCTTCTATTGGCTCACATTCTACAACGAACACACCAGAAAACAGTGAGAAACAGGGTTGTTAGGAAGGCATGGTATCCTATCTGTGAGGGCTACATGAGGCTGGAAAATAATCAAGACCATTTTAATATCTAGACTGAACAGAGTCATCAACACATCATCAAGGCAGGAGAAAATAGAGGCTGTTTAAAAAGATGCAGAAAAACATTATCTTGCTGTCATCGGTTTTTCAGGCAAAGAAAAACTGAACATTGGATCTTCATTTCCACAGCTCTTACCAGAGATACAATGACAGTCAAATAAAAAATACTTTAAACTTTGCAATAAGATATATAAAATCTCTCCTTGAGTTGTAATATCCTCCACAATTGCTTCAATATGATTTTGACACTGATGGATGACACTGATGGAATTTCCTTGTAACATGTTAATACCATTTATAACATGGAAAAAAAATCGCCATCTCAGAACATTAGGAAGTTTATGCTTTACCGGCTTATTTAAGGAAAAAAATCAAGTAAAATCACAATAAATAGCATGTGAATACATTCAATTTCCCCATGTGTTCTCTGGCACTATCAGATCTTCATACTAACACTGACGGTAATCCCAATTTTTTTGTTCTCTAGTATCAGTAACAAATTTTGGATCTTAACCATGAAACAAATATACCTTAAACTGTCCTCTATCCAAATGAAAAAAACAGATTCAAAATTTTTATTTTTCTTGAGATCAAAAGGTATTCAAGGGAATGATGGTGAGTGAAAAAAAGCCAATCTCAAAAGATTGCATACCATACAATTCCATTTATACAGCATTCTTCAAATGACGTAATTATAGAGACGGAGAATATATTAGTGGTTGCCAGAGGTTGGGGATGGGAAGGCGATGGAGGGAAGTGGCTGTGACTATAAAGGGTAGCACGAGGGTTCCTTGTAATGGAGCCATTTGTTATCGTGACTATCGGTTGTGGTCACGCAAAGCTATACATGTGATAAAACTGTACAGATTTAAGTAAACACACACACAAAGGAGTGCATGTAAAACTGGTGAAGCATTTATATAGTGAATGGTTTGTATCATTGTCAATTTCCTGCTTGTGAAATGACATTACAGTTTTGTAAGATATCACCATTGACAGAACCTGGCAGAAGGTATACGAGATCTCTCTGTATTGTTTTTTTTTACAACAGCTTGTGACTCTACAATGATTTCAAAATAATAAGTTAGAAAAAAAAAGATATCAACTGCTAGGCTTAGAATTAGAATTCAGCTCTGATCTAATTCTGACCACAAATATTGAAGGCAAACAGGAGGACAAACTCAGTAACCAAAGAGGTGTTTCTTTGTGATTTATCTTAGCAAGAAGCTCCTCAGTTCGAGGCCTTATGATCCCCATCTTTTGCTCCCGTCTCCCACAAATACCTCATCCTTAGCCCTGTAATCAACAAAGGTGAGTAAACTTCTCTTCAATAATAAACAGGACGAAAAGGGGCCAAGGCAAGGGTCATATGCTTATAGGAATATGCATATGCAATGAACAATACATCATTTGCTAAAAACTGAGCATGTTTTCATTTCCAAATACTCTAGAATATGTGTACACAGAAGACATTAAAACCTGCCTATCTCAAAAATTCCCCAGGAAGTTGTCTTCTATTTCCCTTTGGTAGCAAACCTTCCCATTTAAGAGTTTATTCTTCCAAAAGTTTACTGCAATAGCTGTTGTACTTGTAATCATTGCATAAGAAATTCTTGGACAGACAGCTGGGCTTCTTTCTCATTTGATAAATTCAAAATTCTCTGGGACATAGAAGGCAAAAGCATTAAAAACCAACAATATTGAAAAGCTTAGGCTTCACCTTATTATATAAAGGCCCTCGCCAAATTTCAGCGAAACATTTTAAATAAAGATAAAAATGCCCCTTCTTTTTGCTTTGGATTATTTTTTTTTTCTTTTAAATAGTGACAGGGTCTTGCTACATTGCCAAGGCTGATCTCAAACTCCTGGGCAACATAGCAATCTTCCAGTCATGGCCTCCCAAAGTGCTGGGATTATAGGTGCCCGGCCTCTAGTGGATAATGTTTGAGGTGAATAATATTTTGTATCGCAGAACCATAACACTGTAATCTGCACAGCAGACTTCCCAACAAAGTAGCCGTAAGGATAATGTTTAAAACAACAGGTTACATCTTTTAGTGGCTGGGCGCCATGGCTCTTGCCCGTAATCCCAGCACTTTGGGAGGCCGAGGCAGGAGGATCACTGGGTTGCCCAGGAGTTTGAGACCAGTCTGGGCAACAGAGTGAGACTTCATTTCTATAAAAATAAATAAATAAATAAATCCTTTAGCAATTGAATAAAACTTTTAGATTGTATGTTAACACTCTGGTATTCCCCCAAATTATATTTTACTAAAACAATATAAATAGCAGCTTTATTAAACATCTACGTGTCTGCTTCATAGAGGAGGGACTATAACTTTACATTTAAAGGGAATGATCTCATTATAGTTCAAAACTTGAAGAATAAATCCTGGTTGACTTGAGATGACAGATACCCAAATATGTACCCCAGTTATTCCTATGAAAAAGAAAGAAACATCCCATGGAAGAATGAAGACATGCTAGTTTTTGGTTTTTTTGAGACAGGGTCTCACTTTGTCACCCATGCCGGATATAGCAGCACACTCATTGCTCACTGTAACCCCAAGCTCCTGGGCTCAAGCGATTCTCCCACCCTAACTTCCTAAGTAGCTAGGACTACAGACGTGGCATGCTAATTTATTTACAAGAACTTCAGGACATGTAATTTGCAAATTCCTGTGTGAACACACCCACATATTTATATTTGGCTTTACTTAAAAAAATTAAAAGATACCAGCACATGATACAGTATACAGTCTACATATACTTATGTCACAGAGAAATAAAGACAGAACCATTAATGTTTTTTAATGACATACAATCACACACTGTCAATGCTGGCCATTCAACATAGTTAAGACTATTCAACAGATACATACAAATTTTATTATAATTTCACAATCACGACCTCTTCATCTCCTCTTACTATTTTTATTTTATTTTATTTTATTTTATTTTATTTTATTTTATTTTATTTTATTTTATTTTAAGACAGAGTCTTGCTCTGTCGCCAGGCTGGAGTGCAGTGGTGTGATCTTGGCTCACCGTGACCTCAACCTCCCGGGTTCAAGCGATTCTCCTGCCTCAGCCTCCCAAGTAGCTGGGACTGCAGGCACGTGCTACCATGCCCTGATAATTTTTGTATTTTTAGTGGAGATGGGGTTTCACCAAGTTGGCCAGGATGGTCTTGATCTCTTGACTTCGTGATCCATCCGCCTCGGCCTCCCAAAGTGCTGGGATTACAGGCGTGAGTCACCGCGCCATTTTTTTGAAACAAGCATCAGGATTATCAGACTCTGCTTATTTATTCAAATGTGGTCAGGTTATAGCAGGATGACCAGATAAATCAGCAGAACATTTTATTGGCAATCCTAGTACATCAACTAGTAATTCTCAGCAATTTCATTATTTTTACTCTTTCTACTCCCGTGAGAGCCATTTCACAGTCAAGTGTCAATCAATAAGCTATTTACACACATCTTAGTCTGGTCATTGCAGAGCAAATCAATCTCAGGGCACGGTACACTATGCCTCTTTCATACAGAGTGCCTCGCAGTACTTCAAGGTCCTGCAGAGACTTCATAGAATGCTGCTACTGCGGCTATCAATAACAATAATAGTGAGAGTGCAACATGATCACTTAGTTTTCCTGCATGAGTAATATAATTTTGTGCAAAAGGGAACACAATTCAGCACAGTTGATTCTCTGACTGCCCGGTGCTGTCAAGTCTTATATTTCCATTTCTTGTAATGTTATATAAAATGTGATCACACTTTCTCTTTGGGACCTTGCTGTTGCTGACATTTTTCCTGCTAGATCTGTTACCCACTGTCCTTGTGGTTTTGTTCAGTGACAGCCTGTCTTTCAGAAACAAAAGCTACTCTCTCTAGTGATCCATGACAGAGAAAAAAAATACAATATCTCAGCAATCAAAGGATAACTGATAGTCTTATTAATTTAGTTACAGGACTTTGGAGGTTGGCTGTGGGTGAGAGTATCTGTCCTTTGTAAGCAATGTTTTTCTTTCCAGAAAAATCAGGTGAACATGGTCAAAATGTTATCTAAACACAGTACTCAGTAAAGCTCTCTTATAGCCAAGAGGTAAAAGGCAGATGGCATGATGGTGAGATTCATGTTTGGGAAGAGAGATGGCTGGCTTTGTCCTGGCTTTTCTGGCCTCTGGGGAAAGCACGGAAACACCTAAGGCAGCAGTGAAACAGAAATAAACCATGCAGAGAAACAAAGAAACCCAAAAGAAAGGATGGTGGCAGAAGTAGGACTCGGAGACTTTCAAAAGCAACATCACAGGCTGGGCACGGTGGCTCACGCCTGTAATCCCAGCATTTTGGGAGGCTGAGGCAGGAGGACTGCTTGAGGCCAGGAGTTTGAAACTGCCCTGGGCACACAGGAAGGCCCTGTCTCTAAAGGAAAAGAAAAAAAAAAAGAGCAACATCACAGAAATAGAAGCTCTCACTTTAAAGGATGTCTTGTAAATTAAGTTCAGAAAATGTCAACTGATTTTACTTCTAAAGACACAAAGAAGGCGGGGCATGGGTGGCTCATGCCTCTAATCCCGGCACTTTGGATCCCAGGAGGATCGTTCGAGCCCAGGAGTTTGAGAGCAGCCTGGGCAACATAGGGAAACCCTGTCTCTACAAAAAATACAAAATTAGCCAGGCATGGTGGTGCATGCCTATGGTCCCAGTTACTCAGGAGGCTGAGGTGGGAGGATCACTTGGCCCCAGGAGGTTGAGGCTGCAGTGAGCCAAAATTGTGCCACTTGATACACAATACACAAGATTGTGTACTCCAGCCTGGGCAACAGAGTGCAACCCTATCTCAGAGAAAAAAAAAAAGACACAAAGAAACTTTCTT